TTAACAAATAAAACTAATGAAGATGAAAATAAATCATAATTCTTTTATAGAATTAATAATCTCCATGTCATATAAAGCATAAAAAAGTGAAAAATCACCTGGGGGAAACATGAAACTACAGCCCAGAGCTGTGTGTTAGAGCAGACCCTTATTTGGAACTTGTGAGACAGGATTGCTCCCGGATTAAGGCCAGTCTGGTCTACACAGTAAGTCTTTGTCTCATACCTCCCCTCAGATAGATATTGTGTGGATATGTTAATAGAATTTTGTACATAAATTGGCAGTTAATTAATGCATCTTCAATATATTGTCATTTTATGTGTATGAATGTTTTGCCTGCATGTTTTGCCATATACCACTTTGTAGTTGTTGCAGGTTTGTTGCTGCTGCCTGTTGTGCGATCCCCATTTCCAGGGGGTCAGGGGGTGAGAGGATGCAGAGGCAATGACACAGACTCTGAGAGATTCCAACAGAAGCTCTTTATTGAAAAAAGGGACCTGCGAGGGGCTTATGGGGCTAGGGAAATTAAGCTGCTGCAGGAATGTTTTGGTTGGTCCTTTTGAAACTGGCAGTCACTTGCTGGAATCTTGTGATTGGCTAGGAGTATGTGTCATTAGTTAACATGCTTTTGGTTCGCTGAGAGGTTGTGTTGGCTAATTTTACTTATTCATTGTGGGGTTGCATGTGCTTGCTTGAGCTTGCACTGTTGCCCTACCTCACCACTTGAGTGCAGTGCCTGCAGAGGCCAGAAGAGGGTGTAAGATCTCCTGCAATGGGAGTTAGACTTCCATAGTTGCTTCTGTGTGGACTCTGGGAACTGAACCCAGCTCCTCAGGCAGAGAAGCCAGGGCTTAGTTATGGAGCCATCTCTCCAGAACAATCATGATATGCAGAGAAATTAATATTGATCCTTTCTTCATATCACAAAAATAAACTTGAAGTTGACCCTTTCTTCATATCACAAAAATAAACTTGAAACACTAAACTACAAATTTTGGGAGAAATTGTGAAAAAAAGAACCCACTACCTTTGGGTTTGAAAAAGTTTTCTTAAATGTATCCCAAAGAGAATAAACTATAAATATTAAAAAAATCAATGACAAATGATCAAAATTAAACCTTTTATTTTTCAGAAGGAAAGCAAGCCAGAGAAAAAGCATGGGTGTCTGAAAACTCCCCACCCTCAATTTTAAAATGCTGTAGAACAATCTTTGTACATTGTAAATACATATTGCTCTCATTGTTAATAAAAAGCTGATTGGTCAATAGCTGGGTGGGAAAAGATTGGGTGAGACAACCTGACACAGAGAGAATGCTGAGAGGAAGAAGGGCAGAGACAGCATGAGATAAATGTGCCAAGCTATAAAAGGTACCACCACATGTCAGAGTGTAAATAAGAAATATGGGTCAATTTAAAATGTAAGAGTTAGTTGGTAGTAAGCCTGAGCTATTGGCCGAGTATCTATAGTTAATATAAGCCTAAGTGTGTTTATTTGAGAGTGGCTGCAGGACAGGAAAATTCTGCCTACAATAAATAGTTTGTGTCTCTATTAAAAAGCAGACAAAAAGTTTATCTTTACCAAAGAGTATACATAGGTATCAGATAAATCCTTAAAAAGATGCTGGGCAACATTAGTCACTAGGAAAATGCAGCTAGACCTTCACCCACTGTCAAAACTAGAAATAAAGACAATTACTAATTATTGGGGAGGAAATGAAACAACTGGAATTATGATAACTGTTGGTAAAAAGGCAAAATTTTATAGACCTTTTGAAAAAAAATGACAATTTAAACCTCAGGCCTCATGAATTTAAAGGTCTTGTAATAAGTTAAATGGCCATTCAAATTCCTTTTTGTGTACCCTGAAATGGCACAAAGATTTTTTTCAAGACTGTTTAGTCATTTTACTTGCTATAGTTCAAATTTAGAAACAGCCTGAATGTCTATCGGCAGGTGAATAGTTAAGTAGATTGCAAATGAACAAATCGCTAGTAGTACAACACCATGAATGAATCTCAAAAGACTTTTCCAGAGTACAATGTTCCAGAGACTAGAAAGATCAGTGCATATCTTCAGATGGGGGAAGTGAATTCAGGCACAATGGGATTTGAGAAACCTTTGGTGACAATGCACACACTAATTACCCTAATTTTTGGCAAAAGATATCTCAACAATGATCAGGTTTTGTATATTAAATATATTCTTCTTGGGCTCTATCAATTATACTACAGCAAGGCTTTAAAGGAAACAAGTTACTACTGGTTAATAAGAAAATGAAAGACCTGAACCAAAGTTGAGAAAACAGAAAGAGAAATAGACAAATGAATAGTTAGAAATTATAGTTTATTTATTGATATAAAAAACAAAAGTCATAGTTAATATATAGGATGCTTAAATCAACAATGTTATCCAAATTTACCTTGTTTCACAATCAGAGAAAAACTTCTCCACATTCTCAAATGTATATGGATTTTCATTAGGTCATACAACAAGACAGCATACATACAACCATACAACATAAATACATACAACCACAAAAAAGACTAATTCCAAAAGTTTGAAATTAAATATGTAGAAGGTCTAATAACTTAAAACTAAGACTACACTTTTAAAATCACAAGAAAAAAAAAGCAGGAGAAATAAGAAAACATTTCAACTAAAATGAGCATGAAAACACAGGCTCACGGTATAAGGGACATCGCTGAAGTAGTTCCAGTGAAGGAGTTTGTACCTCTAAATGCTTGGGTTGGAAAGAAAAGTGTTTAAAATCAATGATTTCAGCTTTGGCCTGGTAAAGTTAGAAACTAAACAAATTTACATCAAACTAAGATGAAAAGGATAGAAATGAGATAAAGCAGGAGTCAACACGACAGAAAACAAGCAGTGACAATGAGCAGAAGATCCAAACCTATTAGGGACAAAATAAGAAAATTATAGACCAGTATCCTTATGTCTAAGCAGATAAAAGGCATCAGCTAGTTACTCACGAATCAAATACAGGAATGTATAAAAGCACCATCTGTGACTTATCCCAAGAATTCAAGGCTTGTTTAGAGGCAGCAAAACAATCGATGCTACTGGCTAGGTCGCCTGAGTAGAAAAAAATCTCACATGATCCTCTCCAGAGATGAAGAAAACGAGAAGCTGTTTGTGAGAACTACTGGCAAACTAGAAACTGAAGGGAACTTTGTATTGGGATGATAAGAATCTGCGATAAGTCAACAACTCGCGCCATACATTAAACATGGACTGTCATACACGAAACCATGGACAGTCAGTTGCTTTCCCTCAAGAACAGCAGCTATCCGCCCTCATCTCCTTGCTTTCTTACTGAACCGAGCCTTGACAATCACTTATAAAAGTAGAAAGCCCGGGATGGAAGAAATAAAACTTAGGACTAGATGGATGTGATAACACATATAGGGAATTTTATAAATTTTATAAAGCCTATAGGGCAATAAGTGAATTTAGTAGTTCCACAGGGTGAAAGGTCAACATAGAAAACTCAGTTATACTTCTATGGTTTAGCAATAAATAATGAAAATGAAGTGGAATAAAATACTACTTTATGGAAAAATTAAAGGTACAATACAACAATATAGCCTTTCAACTGTAAATGGAGACTGCTCGTTTGTCTCATACTCACCCAGACCCAAATAATCACACAGAAACTATATTAATTATAATGTTGTTTGGTCTATTGGCTCAGATTTCTTATTAACTAACTCTCACATCTTAAATTAACCCATTTCTGTTAATTTATATTTTACCCCAAGGCTCATGGTTTATTACCTTTTGCTACGTGGGTAGCTACACGGCATCTCCTTGACTCTGCCTACTCATCTTTATCTCTCTTCAGATTTCCCACCTGGCTTTACTCTTCTAAGCCATTGGCCAAATTTTATTCATTAACTAGCAAAAGCAACACATATACAGAAGGACATTCTGCATCATTCTACGGGAGGGCTAGATTTTATAGCAAATTCTATATACTATAAGACAGACAAATTAAAGGAAAACCCAATAGTGTTATAGGTCATGGTATACACTCCAAGACCCAATATTATTAAAATGTTTATTCTTGAACTTACACATTCCAAAGCACATCAGCCTTAAAAAGTTAATCGATAAACTCATTTAGAACTTATACGGAAAGTGCTAAGGACCTAGGAGAGTAAAAATGTTCAAAAAATCTAGAACAAAATTGGAAGACTTACTCTATTTGATTTCAAGACTTTATGAAGCTATTAGAATTGGAGTTGTGTTGTGATTTTCCTGTAGAAAAAGGATCATTAGAATCAATTTTAAAAAAAAATCTCAATTTTATATGAGCACAACCATTTGATGTCAGACAATGATGATGTGACTTAATATAGGGGGAAATTCTTTTTAATAAACAATATTAGGACAACTGACTAGTCATATATATTTTCAATCCTAAGTCATTCCACCCATAGCAAACTATTATTGATGCTCATTGTATCTAAAATGTCCAAGGTAAAGCCATAATGTTCTACCTTTTTGTCAGCACAATGAAGGCAAATTCTCCAGAAGCAGAAAAAAAAAAACCCTCTGTATCAGAGAGAATAGTGATATGTGGGGGGTTATTAAAATTAAAAACATCCACTCTTCCAAAAATATTCTTTTTTAATTTTTGTATCCAACATAATTTTATTTCGACACAAGACAAATCTTTAACTTTTTTTTTCTATTACATGGAAGTTAGAGCATTCAAATGTCATAAATACAAGCAGAAGGCGGCAACTTGATGGTGATCGCATGAATAAGAGGGAAATGGCATGGAATTGCCCTGGATCCTCATAGAGAAAGAGGCCATCTAACCTATGACCCATTGACAAATCTGTCTTGATATACCCTGTACTTAAGTAAAGCTTCTCAAAAGGCACACTGGAAATAAGCATGATTGGGGATGGTATTTAGGGTAAGATACCCTAGAATAGTGGTTCCCAATCTGTGAGCTGCGACCCCCCCTTGGGCCGGAGTCACATATCAGATATCCTGTAGATCAAGTATTTACGTTATGAGGACACTAGCTACTTCACTTACGATGCTGATGTCTGCCTTGGACAGAAGTTCTGCCCCTGGCGGTGATCTTCATTTTCTTACTCGTTTTCCTGGGAGGGCTCATCTTTCTGAAGCAGCCACACCTCATTATTTCTATCAACTATCTGGAAAGGACTGCCGTAGCTGGCAGTGTAAAAGACCTTTTCATTGAAAACCTTTCCTTCTTCCCTCAAAATGTTTGCTAATGTCAAAAGTTGTTCTTGATTCTTTGGGCCACTGGAGAATCCGTCAAAGGACCGTACAAACACAGTCATCCCAGCTCTGTCTTCAATGAAGACATCTGACTCTGAAGGCCTGGGGGGATCGGATTGCTGCTCGGAGGGGACGCACAGGGAGATGGTAATGGTAGACTCGCTAAAAGGACTTGAGCCGGGCTCCACGTAGCTCGTCACTGGAGCGGTCAGCCTCATTTTCATCTCTTTCTCATTTTTGCCTTGAATATAACCATTCAGTTTTGTGAAGCCAGTCTGGATGGCTGAATCCCAGTCCATAGACTCCACACAAGTGCTGACCCACTTGGCAGGTTCATAGTGTCGGATCTCATAACTTCCGGGCTGGGGCTCTGTGTCCTCTGGAGCCTTCCAGCTTGGCATCTCCACCGCAGGCTCCACTACGTCCTCGGCCGCCCCGAGGTCTGGTTCTGGCTCCTCGGCCATGGGTAGGGATAGCTCGCCAGGGGCTCGCGCCTGGGTCTCCCTGTTTGTGTGCACTAGTCACCTTGTCCTGAGTCCCCGCCCCAAAAATATTCTTCAGAAGGTTCAACAGTATGGCCAAAGCTTGGTGAAAGATTTGCTAATCAGAATCACACGATTTCTTTTCTCCAGGGAAGGCATATGGATGGCCAATAAACACAGTGGGACTAGAAAACTAAGCACTATGAGTTAGAACAAGACACATAAAACTGCAATTGGTAGAATGGTTGAAGTTACGGGCTCTAACAATGATGAGATGAGTGTTGAGCCTGTAAAATTCTAGCATAACCATATGGCCACTATTAAATCTTTTATGTGACTTCATATAAGGTTATAATAAAAGGACCAACTGGGGCATGTCTTAAGGATGCAAGGTTTCTTTAGTATTAGACAAATCAATCAATCAATCAATCAGTCAGTCAATCATCAGTCAATCATCAATCAGTTCTCTATCTCTCTGCAGACAAGCCAACACAGGGGAATGTACAACCACACCATACATCTATGAAGTGTTACTCATCAGTAAAATCAAGCTGCTCATGTATAATGATGTGGATGAATTCTTTCACATTTATGTCAATTTCTGGAGAATGTGATGAAATCGGAACAGTGTTTGCCTCTGAGGTCTGCCCAAACTGACCAGAAGAAGAATGAAGGCATTTCTTCGGTAGAGAGAAAATGTCTGTCTTTTCGTTGAAGTAGTAATTACATAGGGTTATACATATATTAGACTTGATAGCAACAAGTTAAACTTTAAGTTTAAAATCTATGTGTTTATTGCATGCTTATTACATTGCAATTAAAAGTAGTATGGGAGACGAGCCTGTGCAAACATGCCTCTTCTGCTGTGTTTGCCTCTAACCTTAAAGACAATTACCATTAGCCATATGGCTCACCTTGCATTTTTTTAAGCACTTCTCCAAACCTGTGTGTATGCTTATTGTTATTATTTTTAAATACAGTTTCTTTGGAGTTCTTCATAGAGAAAGAGGTAATTAGATATTTATATGGCAATGATTATATACATGACAGTCATATGCATAGAACACACACACACACACACACACACACTGAACAGGGTGAGAGGGAAGCGAGACTAGAAATTAGCACATGCGGTTATGGATGCTGGGAAGTGTCATGATTTGCTTTCTGCAAGCTGGAGGCCCAAGAGAAGAGCTGGGGCTGTAAATCCACTCTGAATCTGAAGGCCTGAAAACCAAGGGAACTGCGGGTGTAAATCCCAGTCTCAGGGCAGGAGAGGATGAGATGAGATGTCCTAGCTCAGGAGACAGGCAGGAAGCCACAGCAGCAAATTGCTCCTGTTTCTGTTCTTTCATCTGCTTCAGGCCTTCCGAGGATTGGAGATCCTTATCCACAGTGGGGAGGGCTATCTGCTTTGTAGAGTCCACGACTCAAATGCTGACCACATCCTGAAACACCTTCACAGACACACCCAGAGCAGTGTTTAATCTGGGCACCCCAAGGTCAAATTGACTTTCAGCTTCACTGAAACACCCAAGTTCAGTGTCACTAGAGGCTTCTTTTATCCGATCTCTATTCACTCTTGAATGGCTAGATTTTGCCATCAGTTCTTTTCTTCGTTCATAAGGGACTAAAAGGTGTTGTGTTTTCTGAGTTCTCACAGGTCTGTGAATACATGTCTGACACCTTTATACTTGAATAACCCCTTGTTGGGCCTATGATTTTTGTTTCACACCTTTATTTTCTCCCCAGAAACTCACAGATACCATCCCTTTTCAGTTCTAGTTTGTAATGTTGCTATAAAGAAACATGAGGCTAGTCTTATTTTCTGCTTTTTAAATACTTTTGTTGTTGTTGCTTTCTCTTTTCAAATGCACAAGGGATCCCCTTCTTTCTCTCCTTCCTCTTTCTTCTGCTCAATAATTTTTTAGGACCTGTCTTGATAATGTTTGTTCTGCATTGAATTTCCTATAACATGGTCTATTTAGAAAGTTCTTCCGATGTGAAAATTCAACTTTTCCTTCATTTAAGGAAGCATTTCCCATACTGCTGTGTGTGTATTCTGGGATGCTGGATATTAAGCCAAAACCCAGGGCCTATCTTGTTAGGTGAATTCTCTGGCATTGAGCAATAAGCTCAGCCTGTAAAGCTTGAATTTTTTTCTGTGTATGTGTGTACTCATATCTCAACTTGAGTGATGCAAATTATCTATTGGCCTATTAGTATCATTTTGACAATATGTATTTTAATATATTTGTTCTAGATACTGCTACTCAACTTTCGTGCCTATTTTGGTAAGCTCCACGGCCTCTGAAGAAGACCTGGTAAATAGTCCGAATAATATCAGTCCAGGGCATCAGCCTGTTGTCTTCAGAAGGACCAGTCCTCCAGCAGGGAGCCAACTGGAATTCTCCGACAAGGTTTTCAGCATCATCACGGGGTGTTTGGACAGATCTTGCGATAGCCCTTAGTTCTTCATTTCAATTCCTTCTGCTGATACATTCTGTCTGCTTTCATCCCAAACTCGGGTCTCAGCAAATGTTATCAAGATTCCAATCCCAAGACTCTAATTCCCTCATCCCAAATCATTCCTGGGGTTCAGACCTCAAATCTATGACTTCATCCTTGATTGCACCCACAAATCCGTGCTAACATCTCAGTCCAGCTCTTAGCCTCTGCTCCCATGGCTTTGTTTCTTGCAGAGCATCTGTCTTAAATCCCAGAGAGGGACCTCTGGAGTGTGGCTTTTCTCCCGTCCATCCACGTTACTGGACTTTGGATCAGAATGGCTTCCTGCGCTTGTGCTTCTGGGTTTGTCTCACAGGCAGCTCAGGCTGCACAGAGGACTCCTCTCACTCCCAAAGGAGTTGTAAGTTTCTAATGCATTGGGAACCTCTAAAATTGGTATGGTGCTTGATAAAGTGTTAAATCGGGGAAGGAAACACCCATAGACAAACTGAGAGCTTTCTCACAGAGGTGTAAGCACTCTTTTTTAATCACATTTATGAAAAAAGGGGATTATCAGAAAAACACTCAACACCCTTTGATTTATTTTAGGTACCATCAGCATTTGAAAACACCTCTTATCACGGTCGTTGCTGGCACTGGTGCTATGCACGGGGAAGTAGAGCGTTGTTTAGACCTGAGTAGTCATGCTTCCCCTGCTCTCAGACTGAAAGGCACAGCGCTCCTGCCATCTCCTGTCAGTCGGCCACTGCATCACTGTGCTTACAGTGAACTTTCTCTTCTTTCATTACACCCAACCCCTATCAATCAGAGTAAAGTGTGAGCTGTCCACGTGAACACCTCTGCGTCCGCTCTGTGGATGATGCGCAAACACATGTGCCTAAGTTCACATTCTTAACATTGTGTGGAACCCAGAGGAGCCCCCGATGTTTGCTGAATCCTCAGTGGTTGTGTGTGTGTGTGTGTGTGTGTGTGTGTGTGTGTGTGTGTGTGTAGGGCGGATAAAGGCAACAAAGGTGGATGGGCTGTGGGAATGCTTAGGCTGCTATGAGCTGGTTATTTCAACCCGATTCATGAACCTCCTCCCGCCCCCTTTCGAAAACAAAGCTTTGTTTCTGATCAGTGGTCTCAAAACATAAAAATCTCAGCCTGTGTGATCAGGCAGGCAGTCTGACCTTCAGACTGAATATTTCCTCTTTTGTATGGTTGGCTTGTTTGAAGCACAATCCTGAAGGGAGCAGACTGATGAATTTACGCAGTTTCTACTGATCCCAATTGGAAGGGGTCTTTCAGAACAATGGTTGACAGAGCCTGGATATTAACTGTCACTCAAAGGTAACTTGCAAAGAAGATAGATGACCATTGCTAGGTAAACCGTAACTTTTCATTCCAAAGCTGTGCACTTTGGAATTCACAGCCCCCATGCCACCTCAATGCATTGCATTAAGTGAGTAATAATTTAATAATTTTATTTTTCACAGGACCTTTACCAGACTTTTTTTTTTTTTTTTTTTGTCTAACCTTTGAGAGGAGTAGCTTTTAATTCCAACCAAAGTTTCTTTTGAACCTTAAGGAAAATGTAGTGATTTACTCCTCGGGACATCTTGATGAAGAGACATCTCTAGCAGAGTCAAATGCTGTTCACTATTTACGAGGGTGGGTCTCATTCTGGATCATAATGAGGAGGAGACTAAAGGGAAAAAATTGATCCTTTCAGAATTTTTTCAAGGAAAGTGTGGCTGCCTGAAAATGTTTCTCTCAGACAGCACTGTTCTCAGGGAATTATACAAAAGTTAGCCAAAGTCACAAAGTTCTCTTTCAGGCTAGGGGATATTGACTGTCATCCAGAGAAGAATATGCTATAATTTCTATGATGCTCTTGCAAAGAAAAAAAATGATTTACGATGTTGCGCTCAACTCCCTTAGAACTGAGGGGGGGGTCCTCATTCCCTCTCCTGAAACTGGAATATGATTTAAGCTAAGAAGCAGCATTAAGAATTGCTTCTGTAACCTTAAGACTGGGATAGGGTTGCACATTTATCCCCATGGAAAGAGAGTCACATTATGTTAGTGTAAAGTAGGTTTCACAATACGAGATAAAGTATGATCCTGTTTTTAAGAGAAGTATGTGTATTTGCATAGAAAAGTCTGGAAAGATATACTTGCATAATCACATAAGAAATAAACAAAAGAAGGCAAGCCAAGAGAAATGAGCAAAGCAAGCAAGTACATAATTCCTCAAAAGAACCATAAGAGTAGAAAGGCAAACATTTCAAATTTCATTTGTAATCACAGAAAGGTAATTTAAAATGACAGTAAGATATCTTAACTTTTGCTCATCAGTTGTACAAAATTGTTTAAAGCAATAAGGCATGCCCATACATACCTGGAGGTGGTATGTGTTGGTATGTATTTTTTAAAGTATGTATTTTTACAACTTTATTGATGCATAACTAAAACTTTTAAACAATGACTTCTACACAGTATGTAAAAAGTGCATACTATTTGAAGGGCACAGTTGGATTAAATTTGCCATGTGTGTGCACTTACGACGCCATGGCAATATTCAGGATCCTGATCTACCCAC